CCGGCGGTTCCTTCGGGCACTCTCACAGGTCTGCATATCCCCTCGTTCTCCAGGAACCTAGTTGGTGTCGGCTGCCTCCAGGACCTTGGCGTCACCACTACGTTCCCTGGTCACGAGCGGTATGCTGTCTGTACCGAGGCCGCCACTGGTGCCCCCCTGTCCACGTTCCCCCGGGACCCAGTGTCCGGCCTGTTCACTCTGGACACCGTGACCCCCCCGGCTGGAGCGCTCCCTCAGGTGGCTGCGTCTACCCAGGTTGCTGCTGCCTGCTCCTGTCGGTCCCTCACTCACCCGACTCTCCTTTGGCACCACCGCCTAGGTCACCCTGCGCTCCCGCGTCTGCGTCACATGTCCCAGCACGGTCTCGTCCTTGGTCTCCCCGGTTCGTTCCCCGAGTTTCCCTCCTCCCCCGCCCCACCGTGCACGCCTTGTGTCGAGGGCCGGCTCCGCCGTGCCCCTCACTCCTCCTCTTTTCCCCCTACCACCGCACCACTGCAGACTCTGCACATGGACGTCTGGGGCCCAGCCCCGGTCCATGGGCCGCGTCGCGAGCGCTTCTTCCTAGTGCTTGTCGACGACTTCACGCGCTACACCACCGTCTTCCCCCTGGAGCGGAAGGCCGATGTGCCTGACGTTCTCATCCCCTGGCTTGTCTCTGCTCGTGTCCACCGCGGTCTCCCTGCCTTGCGCCTTCACTCCGACCGGGGTGGCGAGTTTGCCTCAGGTGTCCTTGGTCGCTTCTGTCGTGCGGAGGGCATCACCCAGACGTTTACCCTGCCGGACTCCCCGCAGCAGAATGGGGTCGCTGAGCGACGCATCGGTTTGGTCATGGAGGTGGCTCGCACCTCCATGATCCACGCCGGTGCACCCCATTTTCTGTGGCCGTTCGCCGTGCGCTACGCCGCTCACCAGCTTAACCTGTGGCCGCACCCCCAGCGGCCGCAGGTTTCGCCGACCCTTCTGTGGACCGGGTCCCCTGGTGACGCGTCTGCGTTCCGCGTCTGGGGCTGCCTTGCTCACGTTCGTGCCTCTGGCACGGACAAGCTCACTGCCCGCACCCTCCCCTGCGTCTTCCTCGGTTTCCCCCTTGACGCGTCCGACTGGCACTTCTACCACCCGCCGTCTCACCGCTTCTTTCACTCTCGCGACGTCACCTTTGACGAGTCCGTCTCCTTCTACCGCCGCTTTCCCCACCGTGGTCCCCCGGTTACTCCCCCCCTTTTCCTGGTTCCTCCCTCCCTGGTGGTCCCTGCCCCTCCCCCCCCCCGCCCCCTCGTCCGGCCCCCTCTGGTGTGTCTCACGTCACCCCCCTCCCGTCGGTCGTCCCGGTCGACGAGTCTTCTGACTCTGGTAGTCCTCCGGCGCAGTCCTCGCCGTCTGTCCCTCCCCCGGTGTCTCCTCCTCCACCGCCTCCGCAGCCGCCGTCGCCGCAGCTGCTGCAGCCGTCGTCTCCACCGCCGCCGCCGTTGCAGCCGTCGTCTCCGCCGCCGCCGCCGTCGCAGCCGTCGCTGCAGCCGCCGCCGCCGCCGCCGCTGTCGTCGCTGCCGCCGTTTGTGGACTCTGGGGGTGTCCCTTCTGGGGGTGCAGGTGTGGAGGGTTCGGGAGGTAGCCGTCGCGCAGCTTGTGGCCCTGGTGTTGGTGTTGTGTCGCCGCAGCAGCAGTCCCCGCCTGTGTCCGCCCTCCGTCTGCTCGGTCTTCCGTCTCCTGACCCTGCGCCTGTTCCTCTCCTGCCGTCTCCCCCTCTTCCCGTCTACGGCCCCGTGTTCCCTCTGCCAGACTCGTCCCCGGCTCGTCTTCCCCTCGTTCCCCTCCTGTGTCCCCTCCTCTGTCTCCTGACCCGACGCCGCCCTCACACGTCTGGTCTCGCCGCCCCTCTCGTGCTCGTCCTGTCTCCCCTGTCCCGCGCTCTCACCCTATGTTGCTCCGTTCCCACGCGTCTCGACCTCCCCTCCTCCCGTCTCCTCCTCCGTCTTCTCTTGTCGTTGCGTCTCCTCCTCTGTCCGACTCCTTTCGTGCCGCTCGTCCTCTTGTTCCTCGGGTCCTTGCCTCTCTCGTTACCGACCCGTCTGTTCCCGTGTCGAGTCTTGACGCCCTCGTCGCTGCGGTCGCTGACTTCGCCTCTACCCGCCGCCTTGACTACGCCACCGCTCTGGTCTCTCACCCTGCCTGTCCTCCGTCTGTCGGGGGTGCTCCTGCCCTCGGCAGTGACGTCCTGGAGGACCGCCAGTTTGAGCTTGCTTTCCTGTCCGAGGCTGCTCCCCATCTCTGTTCCATGCTGCTAGTCCCTGAGGGTGACCCAGACGCTTTCGACATCCCGACCCCTCGTACTTACGCTGAGGCGGTTTCGGGACCCTGGGCCTCTCAGTGGATAGCTGCCATGGAGCAGGAGATGGCATCTTGGAGATCCACCGGCACCTTCGTCGACGCAGTTCCCCCACCTGGGGTGAACGTGGTCGATGGCCGTTGGCTCTTCAAGGTGAAGCGCCCTCCTGGAGAGCCGCCTGTGTTCAAGGCGCGCTACGTGGCTAGAGGCTTCAGTCAGCGCGAGGGGGTGGACTTCTTTCAGACTTTCGCTCCTACCCCGAAGATGACTACTCTTCGGGTGCTGCTACACGTTGCGGCTCAGCGTGACTACGAGCTTCACTCCCTCGACTTCTCCACTGCCTTTCTTCAGGGCAGCCTTCACGAGCAGGTCTACCTGCGTCGCCCTCAGGGCTTTACTGGCACCTTCCCCCCTGGGACCCAGTGGCTTCTGCGGCGGCCAGTCTACGGCCTGCGCCAGGCGCCTCGTGAGTGGCACGACACTTTGCGTGCTACCCTTGCTGACCTGCAGTTCTTTCCGTCCTCTGCAGACCCCTCGCTCTTCGTTCGTGCTGGCTCGACTCCGTTCTACATCCTCGTCTACGTAGACGACCTGGTCTTTGCCACTGCTGACAGGGACGCACTGGCCTCCGTGAAGGCAGAGCTGCTGAAGAGACACACCTGCACTGACCTTGGAGAGCTGCGCCGTTACCTTGGCTTGCAGATCTCCAGGGACAGAGCCGCGCGCACCATCACCCTGACTCAGTCACACTTGGTGCGCCAGGTCCTTCAGAGGTTCGGCCTTCAGTTCTCCTCCGCACAGCCCACCCCTCTTCCTCTGGACCACAGACTCTCCGCTCCAGTTCCTGAGGAGTCGGTAGATCCCAGTGGTCCTTACGCTGAGCTAGTGGGTTGCCTCATGTACCTGATGACTTGCACTCGCCCAGATCTCGCATACCCTCTCAGCATCCTGGCTCGTTTCGTGGCCACAGGCAGACACCGACCTCAGCACTGGTCTGCCGCTAAGAGGGTTTTGCGTTATCTTGCAAGTACATCGGGCATGGGGTTAGTGCTAGGCGGACGCAGGCCAGTGGTCCTTACTGGACACACAGACGCTTCTTGGGCAGACGACGCCGAGACGCTCAGGTCTTCCCAGGGCTACTGCTTTAGCCTTGGCTCAGGTGCTGTCTCGTGGAGAGCTACCCGCTCCTCGTCTGTTGCCCAGTCCAGCTGTGAGGCTGAGATCTACGCCGGTGCCATGGCGGCACAGGAGCTCCGCTGGCTGACCTTCTTGCTCACTGACTTAGGTGAGCGGCCTAGCTCTGCCCCGGTCCTGTACGCTGACAACAGGGCCATGATCCTCCTGTGTCAGGAGCCTCGACTCGAGGGCAGAGCGAAGCACATCCAGCTGCGGTACTTCCTCCTGCGTGAGCTACAGCAGCGTCGCCAGGCTCGCGTAGTACACTTAGCCTCCGGTGCCAACACAGCTGATATCTTTACGAAGGCGCTTGCGCCTAAAGATCATCAGCGGCACTGTGTACAGCTTGGTCTGGTTCCTGTAGTCTCTCACTTACTCGGGCCTTGACTTTGTACTGCACTATATATATCTGTGTGTACACTCAGACTGGACTTGTGTCCTCTTACAGTGGTTGGACTAGTAGTGCCGCCCTGTAATAGTTCTTGCCTTGCCTGTACTCCTTCTGACTGGTCTTTTAGACCCTTGTCTCAGAGGCTGGACTAGTAGTGCCACCCTGAGCTGCTTGTCTAGAACATTCCCCTATGCCGTCCAGGGGGTGTGTCAAACATGTTTAGTTATCATGCTTGTATAGACTGTATAGGGTCATCTTCTAGAGAGTACAACTGTTAGGTATATGTTTGTGTACTCTCTCTCTCTATTCATCAATTTCACTGTTTAATACTTGTATGAGGGCATTTTGCATGATGAACTCGAATTGACCCTCCATTTCTATAGCAGTTTCCCCTCTAAGGTAATTTCGGTGTGGACAATGACCCCAAAAATCCGTCATGCCTAGAGCAGGAATGACTTGGAGAACATGAGTATGTAGCTTTGGATTGGCCTTCTTTCTCATCAAACCTCAACCTTTGGGCTTACCTGAAAAGGGAGCTGGCAAATCATAAATGGTATTCCTCTGCAATGCTGGAGCTTTGGGAACTGATTCAGGAAGAATGGAAGAAGATCCATGTCGAGGTTTGCTCTAGCCTCATCAACAGCATTCCTAGGCGGGTGCGGGCGGTGATCAAGGCCAAAGGTCGGTGAGCTAGGAACTAGAAACACACATTTGAAGTTTGCTCTGTTCGCTTGGAACTATTTGTCTGGATGTACCATTTGTATGTCGTTTGGGATATGAGTTAGATCCAATGTAATATTTTATATATTTGTGCTGTGAACACATCCACTATGCGCCCCTCTAAAATCGTACCACCATTAATGTATAGTGGTCTTAATGCCAAAAAACCAAAAATAATGCAAAACATACGTACAATTGTTTCCGCCACTGTATCTGCGTGCGACCGTCTAATGCGCCTCGCTAAGCTTCTGCACCCGACGAACTTTTGGGACACTGTAGGTAAAATTCGCTGGATTCCCCTGTCAAATAAAAGTTCCACATAAGTGGCCCGAAATTGTGGGCTAGACATACGGTTTGGCAACTGTCCAAATCTGTACATCTTAGCCGTCAATATTCTCATGTCAAACCACCTGACACAGCATAGGACTCTGGCCTTACAACACCGTGAAATGTTGCCGGGTTCCTCGTGCAATCACTGCCATCCCATGGCTGCCTCGAGTCACGAGTGTCTGTCCCTGTCCCGTCCATGGGTTGCCAGTGGCATGCTGGTGATGATTTTCATCGAACTTCCCTCGCTGCTAGGCTTCGATAGCGGCGGGGGTATACAGCCGGCGTAGGTCGGCACGTCCGCCCCTCCCCAAACTAGCCTCGGCACATGCTCGGAAGCAACAAGCCTACGCGTCGAGCAATCCCTGGCCGTTACCAAGGATGGTGATTCAGAAGCCGATGTCTCCATGGCGGCCCCGCGGCGGACACCTCGGCATGATCGCGATCGGGCGCCGCGAGTTGCTGGTGGTCCGGCAATCACGGCGGGTACAGCAGCGACGAGAGTACTACAGACTAGCGACTCGCTGGAATCGACTGACAGTTTCCCGCAGAGCCTTGACTCGAATCAGACGGACATCTCTCAAAACGCCGTGATGGCGGAGGAGAGATTCGGGCGATCCCTGCGGTTGTTGAGGCGAGGCGGAGTTGAGGTGTGGCAAGGGGTGTTGGCGGTGCGTGGCGGGGCAGCTGTGCGTCTTCTAGATCGCTGTCAGGCCCCTCGCCACATGGGTTGCCGCCGCGGCGCTGGAGCAGGCGGCGGCAGAGGGAGGCTCCGCGAGTCCACCCATAGCAGGCTCCATATTCACTGCGCTGCCTCCCGCAGCAGCAGCAGCTGCCCCGGGTGCGGATGATTCTGGTAGTGCTGCCGCTGCTGCTGGCGCCGGCGCCGGCGCTGCCGCTGGCGGTAGCGTGCGGGGCGGAGTGGGTGGGTTCCGCAAGACTCTGGTGGTGCAGCTCGTGGGGCCGGCGCTGGTTGCGGCGGACGTGGTGGCGAAGGGGGGCGATGTGACGCGATGGCGCATCACGTACCGCGTGTGGGACATGTGGAGGTACAGGTGACGTACAGGTGACGTGCAGGTGAGGCGTTAACACTTGTTGGGGCATGGACGTTCACTAGCGAGTGAAAGGGCCTTCGTTGGTGCGTATGAGCCAAGGACTTACCGCGTGTGGGACGCGGGGAGGTACAGGTGAGGCGTCTTGGGGACGCAGGGGGGATGCGCTGGGGGAAGCAACGCTAGTATATGCATTGAAATCCAAGTGGTTCCACTCCTTCCCGTGTGTGTGTGTGTGCCCCATCCCCCCCCCGCTACCTACCTTTTGAGTGTGCCCCCCCCATCCCGTATGTGCCCCCACGGGGATGTATGGATGGGGCCTGACGCCTGACTGACTTAGTAGTCATTTCTTCCCGTGTCTGCCCCATCCCCCCCCCCCTCTACGGTGCCTGCCCCCCAGGAGTGGAGCAGAGTGGTTGATGGTGCAGTTGGAGTGGTTGTCGACAGTTTTCTGAGTTGACTCAAAGCGATTCCATTCCTTCCCGTCTGTGTGTGCCAAAACCCTCCACCCCTCTTCCCCCCCACCCACCCCTCCTCGCATGCCCCCTGCTTGCCCCCCATTTGGGAGGGGAGCAGAGTGGTGGTGCAGTCTGTCGGAGTGTGACAGCATTCAGAGTCCACTCAAAGCGATTCCTTTCCTTCCCATCTGAGTGTGCATGCCCCCCGCATGCCCCCCACATGCCCCCCATTTGGGAATGGAGCAGGGTAGTGATGCAGTCGGACTGTGACGATCTTGACTTTGCGAGCAATCACTTGCAGCGAGTCCAGCGCACGAGGGGCTCCCACGTCATGGCGGAGTGGGACCTATGTGTGGAGCCGCAGCAGCAGCAGCAGCAGCAGCAGCAGCAAGAGCAAGAGCAGCAAGAGCAGCAGCAGCAGCAGCAGCAGCAGTCATCGCCAGTCCCAGCCTCGCCCTCAGCCTCGGTCCTTGCACACAAATCCTCTGCAACCCAACCTCATGGCGAATTCCCTTGGGACGCGATCGACAGCCTGGATTCACCCTGTGATGATTCAATCCTGGTCGCTGGCTACTGGACGAGCAAACGCAAGAGTACACGTGGCAGCTGTACCCGTGCACGCACCCGCTGCCTCCTCCCACGAACTGGCTCTCCGCCTCGGCTCCAGAGGCATCTCGGAGATTAAATTTGCGAGCGACCTGCACGTGCGCACCCTGTTCCTCCACCTCTTCTTCCTGCTCACCGGACAGGCGAGTGCAAAGGAGTCGGTTTGATTTGAGCAAGTAGGAAAGAAAGCATAGTTTCAACCTGAGCACACCTTGTTTGCCCACCTCTTCTTCTTCCTGCTCACCGGACAGGCGGGTGCGAAGACCGGAGAGCAAAGATCGACTGCCAAGAGATATTTGGAGATAGTACCCGTGAGCAGCAGTGCAAAGGAGTCGGTTTGATTTGAGCTAGGAAAGAAATAGTGTCCAACTAAGGGCGCCCTGTTCCACCACCTCTTCTTCCTGCTCGCCGGACAGCCGAGTGCAAAGTCCGCCCTCAAGAGATTATTTTTGAGTCGTCTCAAAGATCAAGTTCGCCAACAAGAGAGCGTTGGACATAGTGCGAACAAGCTGAGCAGCAGTGCATAGACGTGACTTTTGATTCGACAGAAGTCACCTTATCGGACGGGCGCGTGAGTGCAATGACATACCGCCAAGCAGGCCCGACGATATCAGGATTTTTACGCTTTTTTTCAGGGTGTTTGCTTGTACCTGTTCAAATTATATAAGTTATAATTTAATATAGGTTTGGTAGGTTGTTACTGAACCTTTCTGTAGCGGGTACAAACCCCTCCCTGTACTCCCCTCTCTTTCCAATCCAAGCCTCTTCTCTCTCGACACTCTCGTCCAGCTCCTAGCTAAACCCCGCCGCCACATTCATGGCGGCCTTGTTCCTGCCTAGTATCCTAGCCTAGAGCTACTTTAACATGGTATCAGAGCAGGTGACCGTTTGTGGGCCTGCTCCCCACGCTTCCGCCGCGTGCTTTAATCGTCCGTGCCTGTGCCGCCGTCGTGGCCCCTTATTTTCCTGCCGCCGTGGCGGCCTCCCGCTTTTGTGCCGCCGTCGCGGCTTCTTGTCTTCGTGCCGCTGTGATGGCCGTTGCGAGATGCCGCCGCGGGCTCGTGGTCCTGCCATCGCCCGTCCGCCTCGTCGCCGCTGCATCAGCGTCGCCGCCCTCCCGCCAGTAAGCGTCGCGCCATTTATGGCGCGTCGCTGAAGATTCGTCCCTCCCCCCCACCCCCCTCCCGCCTCCCCCTCCTTCCCCTGCATCCCCCACCTCCTTGCTGCAGCCGACGACTGCCTCATGAGGGCCCTCCCCACCGCCGAGGGGAATGGACATGCCGCCGAGAGGGCGGGGGCCGCTGCACCAGCCTCTGACGTTCAAGCCGCCACTGCCGCCGCTGTTGCCGCGGGCCGGGCGCCGCCACACGCCGCCGCCGCCGCCGCTGTCGTCACTGTCGCTGCTGCCGCCATAGCCATCCCGCGGGCCGTGGGATCTGCCCACTTCCGGAGTCGTTTCGGTTCCTGCTGGGAATGGGGGTGCTGGGCTAGGGGGTGTGGGTGTGTGTGTGTGGGTGTGGGGGTGTGAGTGGGCTTGACGCTACCAAGCCTAGGGGGTGTGTTCAAATTATATAAGTTATAATTTAATATAGGCTTGGTAGGTTGTTACTGAACCTTTCTGTAGGGGGTACAAACCCCTCCTTGTACTCCCCTCTCTTTCCAATCCAAGCCTCTTCTCTCTCGACACTCTCGTCTAGCTCCTAGCTAAACCCCGCCGCCACATTCATGGCGGCCTTGTTCCTGCCTAGTATCCTAGCCTAGAGCTACTTTAACAGTACCGACCCTGATGAGAAAGGTTTTTTTTTTTTTGTACAACCCTGATGAGAAAGCCTATTTGTTTAGAACAAGACTGATGGAAAAGCGTTTTTTTCCCTATCGACACTGAGTGATCCGCGCAGTAACGCAGAACAACCCTGAAACGGAAAACTGCGAGATTCACGGAAGCTTATATGGTCGGCGCTTGCTGACCTCCCCCTCCGTCAGTCACGCAACATATTGTACAGCAATACCTGGATGAGGCGTGAAATGCTGTCGCGCTGTAAATTTCGCGCAGCCGCCATGCAGCCCCATTGGCTTTTAGCCAAATCATGCATTTGCAGCCAATGGGTGAGGTAGTTTACGATCTCACAGCAACAGCGCTGGCATCGCGCTACGATGCCAGCACTGAACCTGGCATCGTGCCCACGAACGGCCCGTACCTGCCACACAATTCGTCCTCCCCCACGACGCTCTTCCCTCCCTACCGAGCAACCTGCCTGGCACAGTCGAAGCTGTCGATCATGACGAGGGCTGAAATAGCCCATGGGAAAACGTCGCCCAGACACGTTTGCCCCACCCTAGCGTGCAGCCTCTCAGGCTAATGTATCGCGTTCTCACCTCACCCAGCACCAGCAGCCTTTTCCACCCAGCCTGCTCTCGCCATGGCTGTCGCTGGGGGAAACTGTCTCGATGGTGACGCGCCAGCTTTAGACGAGCCCCCTCAAACTAAGTTTCCTGTCGCAGCTCCCCAAAGCGCGCTAGAGTTCCTATTAATATCACTGCCGCCTTCCTCCAAGCAGAATAGACTTTCTTACGTCTCAGCATCCCATCTGGCGTCTGCCTCACCCATGCCATTCAGCGGCTGACTCAATCACTACCGCTACGCCAACCGAGGTGATTAACTTTCCTACTGCGCCTGCTTCTCCCGTTCTTCCACCGAAGTCCACATTACCAGCGCCCGTCTGGGTGTGTGCGGACGACACGCCGATGACTCCACGTAAGGACCCACCGGGGAGCGCTGAAGTTGCACCTTGGCTAACATATCGGGGTGCGCCTGTGGCCTCCCCGACCACTGCTGTAGTTGAGACTAGCGCCGCTGGGGTTTGCCGTGCAGGACGTCAATCTGAGTCTGGTAAGTGTGCTTGACATGGCTTTGTGCGTTGATATCAGGAAACAAGGCTGGGTATTAACGTCTGCTATTCACTGTGTCGTTTCCTGACAGGGATCCCCACCCCTGCCACCGCCGTTCCTGAGACTACTGCGGCTGGAGCTCCAGCTGAACCTGACACTAGCACTGCTGAAGCTCGCCGTGCAGGGCCTGACTTTGTTTCTAGTGAGTCCTGTTTCTGCTTCTATTGTATCCAGTCAATCACAAGCAACTCTTTATTAATAACCTTGTCCTCGTCTGGCAGGAACCCCTACCTCGGCCCCCGCTGTACCCAAGACTAGCACTGCTGGTGCCTGTCGATCAGGATCTGACTTTACTACCGGTGAGTAGTGTTTTTGGCTTCTGGTTCTATTGAATCCTTTATACGCAAATCTTTTCTAATAAACCTAATGGCATGTGGCAAGAATCCCAACCCCTGCCTCCGCTGTACTCGAGAGCGGGCTGCTGGTGTTCGTCGAGCACGGTGAAAACATTTGCCGGTGTTTTTATTGGTGAGCCGTGGTTTTTACTTCTATTGTATCCATGTCTTTACAACAAGTTGTTTACTAATAACTATGTTGGCAAGTGGTAGGAACTCCGACCCCTGCCAATGTTATAATCGAGAGTAGTGCTACTGGTGGCCTTCGAGCACAACCTGAGTTTTCTACTGGTGAGACTTCTGATTCTGTTGTACCCATAGCTTACAAGAAACTGATTACTAATAACGTTATTGACACTTTGCAGGGAATGATTCCACAGCCACTGAAGGAGATGCTGGACGTCGTATGCTTGGCATGGAAGATCCTCCCGAGTCGAGTGCAGGCGCGGCAGTTCGGGCATCTCGCTACCGTCAAGAAAAGCTCCCGTTCCTCTCCACTGTTTGTCCTGTTACAACATCAGCCGCCAATCCCAACTCCACCGCCGATACTATTTCCTCTGAACCTAGCTTCAATCTCATTGAGCTGTTGTACTCTGATGCTCTTGACAAGTACAAGACGCATTGGCAGGAACGTCACCCTTGGATCGTTCTAACCAAAACACCTTGTGAAGTTGTGGGTGGCAGTTGCTGTCCTGCCGCTATCCACTGTGGAGTGTGAGCGCGGGTTCTCCCGGCAGAATGTTATCAAGAGCTGGCAGCGGGGGGCTATCAAAGATGCGCGGCTGTTGGATCTCATGGCCATGTCGCTGCTGGATTATGAGCCAGATTGGGAAGAAGTGGTGTCTATTTGGAGGAGTTATAAGAAGCGACGACCTTTCTCACTGACAGCCCGGCCCAAAAAGCGTCCGATGAGCAGGATGAAGTGGAGGAGGTTGAGGTCGATGACGATGAGGAAGTTGAGCTCGTGGGGAATGAGGCAGCCGACCGTTGGGACGATGACGAGGATTCTGGATAGTGACCTAGTGATATGGCTGTGGAGCTGAGAACCTGCTGTAAAGTTTCTTTGAAGCATGTTAGTATGGCGCATGACTACGTCGGCATTGCCCTTCTTTTAGCTTGTTTTGGTAAATTCGTAGATATTGTAGTTAAACTAGAGTAGCTGATAAATTAAAAGATGTGAAATATTTTTTGGAGGATAGTGAAAATCAGTGAAAATTTTATTGTCAACCCTGATGAGAAAGCTAACATTCGCAATCCAACGCAGATGAAAAAGTTTGTTTTTTTCTGGTCCACACTGATGGAAAGTTTTTTTCTCAAGTACGACACTAAGCAATCAGGGTAACTTAAAACCAATCGTGGGGCCAAGAGACCCTCGGAGATAGTGCCAGTTCCAGTGAAACGATCAGCAGTAGTGCAAAGGATTCGGTTTCAATTGAGCAATTAGGAAACGAATAGGCTTAAAATAAGCGTGCCCTGTTTGCCTACCTGCTTCTGAGAATTCTGAAAAAACAGAAAAATGCCCACCTCTTCTTCTTCCTGCTCATAGGACAGGCGAGTGCAAAGGAGTCGGTTTGTGCAAGTAGGGAAGAAGTAGTGTCAAACTAAGTGCGCCCTGTTCCTCCACCTCTTCTTCTTCTTCCCGCTCGCTAGACAGGCGAGTGCAAAGACCGCCAAGTACCATGCGGACATAAAGCTCGTCGTGCCGCCTCCTCCCGGATCCTTACTGCCGCCTCTCAAGCTCAACTTTGACTGGATTGGGGGGATGTACCTGGATTGGCAGCAGCCCTTTGGATGCAGGTGTTGTGCTTGTGGAGAAAAGGGCGAATGCCGAGCTGCAGCTCGTGCTTGCCATCTTGCTTCTGTCCCTAGTTCCATCCTTGGTTGAGGTGATCCACATATGTGCATGCATGCGTGCGTGCATTCATTCATTCATTCACACTTTGCGGCACTGCTCGCTCACTCACACGCTATTTGGCCCTCAGTTTCGTTACTCACCTTGGTCCAACCTGTCGAGAGACCCGCTGGGGTTACTCTTGAGAAGATCCTCAGAGAAAGGCCACAGGTACAGAGCCTGGGGGGCTATGGGCGCACTGACCCACTACTTAACAAGCCGTTTTAACTCAGTGGTTAGTGGTTGAGTTCTCGCATAACTTGGCTGCTCGTATATTTTTGAGGCGCCTAAAACTTTGAATCGTCATTCACCCAATGCGGTGTGCTGCTCGCTTACATGCCATTCAGCCCTTCGTTTTGATACTCACCTCGGTCCTATCTGGCTGCTCGTTGCGGTTGAAACCTGAGCCTGGTTGGAGTCCTCACCATACTATGTTGTTCAACCAGCTTGCCAGACCCTCCCTTCCCATCCCATCCCAACCCTTCCCGTCCCATCCCACCCCATCCCATCCCACCCCATCCCATCCCATCCCATCCCATCTCATCCCACCCCATCCCATCCATCCCATCCCATCCCATCCACCCGTCCATCTATATCTCTCTCCAAATCTGCTGCTGTGCGGTGCAAACACGCGACCGGTGTGCTGTGCCTGCTCTTAGGCACACGGGTGTACACTTCACTTGCGTTATCCGGGGGGAGACGAAGAACTGGGCATGGGTCTCCTGGCTTGGGGGAAGCAAGCAAGGGAGATGGTGGGGGGGCTTATGTTGGGGTTGTGGGTGAGGCAATGGTGAGGATGTTTGTGTACCACCTTCTATACTAGCTATAGGTATCCGACCTTTTTTTTTGCAAAGTTCTACACAAACATAAGAACCCTATCGTGCATGCCTGAAGAACCCATTCTCTGCTTTTGACATGGTATCATCGCTAGGTTAGGTCCTAGCCTCCTCGCTTCCGCCCTAGATTCTCCCAGCTCCCCTCCCGCCTCATCGCTCCTGCAATATTCTGCTCCTCCCTCTGACTCTGCTCGCACTGCTCGTCCTACCACCTCTCGCTTGCTTGTGTCGCTTGTCACTGACTCTATTGCTTCTCCTGAGACCGTCTCTGCACTTGTCACTGCTGTCGCTGACTTGCTGCTAGCCACCATCTTGACTACGATGCCGCTCTGGTCTCTGGTACTACCCATCCTCCGTCTGTCGATGGTGCACCTGCCCTTAGCAGCGACGTGCTACAGGATAGGTAGTACGAGTTGGCCTACCTTGCTGCCGCTGTACCCCATCTCTGCTCCATGCTTGTATCCCAAGAGG